AACCGGTCATTCCTATACTGCCTATACTGGTCTTGGCATTATTGGTAATGGGGTAGTAGTAGTGATATAGTTGGTGAGGTGTAGGGGGGAGTATAGGAATAATCGTCTAATGGGTTGACTGGTGGTATTATTACCCAAAATGGGCAAGGGTTCTGCTAACTCTTTCACCCCTGTCGTCAACATGATCTTGGAGAAATCGTCAATGCCCGCGACGAACTAGACTGGAGGACACCAAACAACTACGCACAGCCGCGCGAAACACAAACGAAACATTGAAAACCTTGAGGTGGTCTGCTCCTCAGCCTGTGCAGCCTGTGGGCCGTCTTCACCCAACCTGACAGAGAAGAGAACGAGGGGGTTTGATCTACCTGCACTAGCCAAGGAGCCGTCGTGTTGCTACTTCAGTAGTAGGGAGGCTTCAGGAGTAGTAGCATGGCTGTTGTCGCTCTGATTGCTATCCTCGTCGCATGTATTGAGCTGTTGCTGATCTTACTCTTGCGGCCATGCCTATTGTCCCCAAAATTCCTAATATAGTTCCCCTAAAGAGCGCCTTACACAAACGCTAGGTCCCTCATCGCACCTGGGGGCAGATGCACTGTTCAGGTTGCCTGGGCGGCGGCCGCCTCAGCAACGCCCATGAGCATGTAGGGCTTCTTAATGTGGGGGGTACATCGGGGCAGCTTACTTGTGGCTCCCTATGGCAAGGATCCTCTCCCATTTGGGGTGTGTGTTGGGCCCCTGGTGTTCTTGTTACTGTTCGCTCAAGGTTGCAAGGCCTTTCTCTCAGGGCAAGGTCCGCGTGCTTTGAGACTTTACGCCTTCACTGGCAATGTTTTCGAAGGACACGTGGAATCAAAACACGTCTTCACACCACAATTGGCCCACCGGTCGCACCGTTTATTATGCTTGCCATGTGCACTTTTACAAGCATCAGCGCATTGCCACGATGTTTGTTGCAGTCGGGACGACGACAGCGACGACCTGCCCAAGCCCCGCACCACCAAGGATGACGGGACCTGGGGCAGAAATTGACAGGCGGATGCAGCCCCGCCCGAAACTGTCTTCCTGCACTCGAGGATGTGGGCGCCCTGCGTCGCGGACTCTCCTCCGGCGCAACACTGCCTCCGATGGTTCGCACTCTTCCCCTTGAAATGGTCTTGTTGCTTCCTCATTCCGGCTGAAACTGTTTACTGCTACTGCTATTGTAATAGTGAATGCCTGCTTGTGCATGCGATTGCATTTACCAAGGTTGTTGTTGATACTCCCACTAGTCTCACTAGTCCGTGAACTTGCTTCATTAAGCAATGGACGAATCTACTCATGCAACTGGCCACAACCATGTCGGAACCTCTTCTGTATCTCAATTATGCTTTCTTAGTTACACACCTCCTGTGCGATATTGAACGCTGTAAGTAGTTGCGGCTGGTAGTCGCAGCAGTAGCTGTGGTAACTATAGTAGCAGCTGCGGGATTGCAGGGGACAATGTTCATCGTCGTCGGTATGTCCGGTGTCGACCATGGTCTTGAGCTCTAGTTTGCTGGAGACAAACCTTTTCTATAAGGTTGTTAAGTACTGATCCACCAACTCCAAGTTATGGACCGAATATATGGACCATAAATAACTGATGGCTGAAAGAATCGAAGCAAAGCGCGAACAACACACGACTCCTGCACTGAGCTGCTTTTTTGAAACGATGTGCATGCAGTGGATGCAATCGACTGAAGCAGTCCGAGGCGTCGCGCGCAGAAACCTCTCTCTTTCGGAGACATGGTCCAGCTCGTCGTAGGCAGCTATCACTTGTCCTTCTTGCTCTCCTGCTCTTTGGCTGATACTTGCTCATCACCTTCCTGGAGGATGACGGATCACAAAGAGAAATGGCTCAGGGTCACATTCTGATGTTACCGTAACGGTTCCAACGACTCGAAGCGCATCGCCGAGCGGCTACGATGTTGTAGAAAAAATTGAAAACGGAGCGTGCCAGCCACACCACGAGATGTGCCTGACAGCGCAAGATAAGATGCTGGCTGTTCGTGCCCCTGACATGAGCTAGGACTGCGGTCGCACTAAGATCCCGGCAGAATGTTAAGCTTATGCGAAGGCTGAGGAGATGGTGAGCATGCAGCAAGGGTGGGTATATTTCAAGCATCCATCGTTTATGCTTGAACCGCGACTTACAGTGACCTGAAGCATCTTCTGTATTGTCGCCTTGGAAGTTGACATCTTGACATATTGCCAACCTTTGCTCCCACTCTTCTGGCGTATCATATCATGTCCAATCCGCACATGGCTTCTGTTGGAGCCGCCTGGGCCCAAACCAGCACCGCCAGCAGCAGCACCACGAAGACCCGCCCAGGATAGCCCAGCGTCGCCCCGGCTGCCCGGTCCTGAGGCTGTTTCTGAAATCCCTGTGTGGATCGTGCTTGCATACTCATGCCCTGGCCAAAAGCTTGTATGTTGCAGACACATGAATTGTGGATGCCGTGCTCAACAGCCGGAGGCTCCGCATTGAGGTAGAGCGTCACAAACTTCTTCGCAATCCAGAGGGCATATCCTCAAGTGAAGGTTGCGTGTGGCTCTGCCATCTGCTTCTTGCGATTCCTAGTGATCAGACGCAGGCGTCCTCGAGGAGTGCTGCTAATTCTCCACATCCTTGCCACGCGTGGAAGATGCTCGGGCAGCCTCGGAAAATGTGGGAATTTGGGGTGCTCTATCATTATACGGGAATATTGAGGAATAGCAAAGCTGGATCAGAGCAGGCGCTTCTCCACGGTCAAGTACTGGGCATCCTCGACCCAGTGATCGGAATCGTCAAAGACCACAACCTAACGTCCGCCGACAGTAGTGTCGTGCATGCCGCAACGTCCAGAACAGCATTCCGTGTAAAACTTCAGGAGTTCGTTCTGGAGTCTAGTCCGTACGGACTAAGCGTATTATGGCCAGGAGGCACGAGGAAGGTGGCCTGGCAAAACGCCGAAATACGTGAAGCCAGGCAGTGTTCCATCAGCAACGCCAAAATATCCTTAGCTGCGCGAGGGGCACGGGCGTCCGAGAATACTGAGCTGCTTGACGGGGCTCTGTCTGCTTCGCCATACGTGTACACATCTACTTGGCCGACCCGCTTCGGCTTCATGACCTTCAGCACTTGCACGGTATTGTCGTGCATTCGCTGCAGGTAACACTCAGTGGCTCGTCGCGATGGCTCTGGCACTGATGAAATGACGAACTGAATACATAGCCTTTGAACTGCTTTCCCCATGCCAGCACTTCACGACGGCCTCCTTGATCTTTGTCTCGGCCATTATGTTCGTTTCGTGGTCCGTGACGTCCACCGCTATGAGAACCTCAATGGCCATGGCAAAAACATTCATCCACGGACATGGACCAAAGAGTCGCAACATGGCCCGCCAGATGCACCCTTGAGCGGATGAAAGCCTTTGCCGACTCGAGGCTGAAGGACCCGAGTTCAGAAAGAAGTACACGCTGCTGAGCCCGAGCTTCGCAATGCCAGGGAGCCGGTGCCTAAGCCCAAAGCAGCACAAATTAGATCGACCGCGATGGACTGATAGATTCATACCATGACGACGCCACTAGGCCCGCTAGGCCTTTCAAGACCCTCGTCCAAACAGCTCATGATGATGCAGAGATTTACACAAAACCTCCAAGAGCATCGACAGGGCACACGTTTGCTTATGTCTCACCTTGCACTTGCAGTGACGTCGAGATACGTGGACACCCACTTGAGCAGCGAGTGGTCATTCTGTATCACCTGCAAGGTCCACGGAGCATGGCATGGCAACACCGGCACAGCCAGCCGGCTTAAAGGCCTGGGTTTAGGTGCGGGTTTAGTCGGGAGGGTGTACACTTCGGAGAGGGAGAAGGTGAGAGAGGATGCGCGCGAAACCCTTCACCTGTCATCTGTCATCAACGTCAATTCTTCCTGTCGTACAGGGAGTGGCTGCAACCTCGTACGGAACCGCCACATCAACCATAGGGCAGTGATGTTTGGCACAACCGCTGGGATTTGGAGTACTGGGTACTTAGCTAGCAACCTATGTTGCGAGGTAATCGTTGCGACTTGTTCCTTTGCCTCGGTTTGCATGCACTCAAGCAAACGACCCGACTGCCGAAGCTTTGCAATCCGACAAGGAAGAGCCTCTGGTCCCGCCGCAGCCGCAGCAGGCCTTGCCCTGCCTTTCCTCAGGTTCATCTACATACATAGGTGTACATATTTGTGTATATTATATATATATATATACATAGAAGTAGGCAGGTAGGTAGGCTGACAGGCAGTCACCTGGACAGGTAGGGCCCCTCCGCAACTTCGGAGTGCTTTAGGCTGCGAGGCCGAGGCGTCATGGTGGTAGATGTGTAGGTAGGTAGCTAACCAGGTTTTTTCCCTCTCGCTTTGCTGAGAAACTATGCTCACGGCGAGGTCTGCATGAGAACTATAGGGAGGGTTTAGGTTTAGGATGTGGGGTTTAGGGGTTAGGGCATAAAGCCTAAATCCTCCAAGGCAAAGGCTGAAAGGTCGAAGCAGTGTAGCACTTGTGGTCGTTGGTGTCAGGATCCACGAAGGTCTCCTCAGGAAAGCCCCTCTAACCGGATACTTCTATGTCTCGTACCGGACACTTCCACATATGTTGTACATATGTTTTGGGCTTGGCACACGCTCTCTGAAAGTTTAGGCCTTGAAGTTTGGCTCACAGGGTTCAGGGCTAATGCTCACGACTTTTAGGGTCTTCTGTGCTTGTGTAGGGACCAAGATAAACAGTGTAGCTGCATGATACCACCCGTTCTCGCAGATATCTTAGGCGAGAGGAAGGGTTTAGGGTTTCCAGGGTTTGGGCACCTTCCTAAGGAAGCTGTACACCAACACCCTGTCACAACTCGTAATATGGCGGATGCGGCTGACTCTGGTTGAACTTCCGTGTCTGGCATTCGGGTTTCTGAGTCATTCAGTCGGCCTTGCGAGTATTTGGGGCGTCATGGAGTTTTGACATCTGCTCTTTCGCTGCAGGACCGCATAGCCAGGGACCCCAAGAGAAAGGAGATATTAGCTAGGAGGCATCAAGCGAGGATAGAAGACACAGAGAGACACAATTGAAAAGGCTAAGTAGACCTAAACATGCAGTATTGTCGCGGCTCCTTTGGTTTCTCATTCTTGCAGGGCCTGTGGGACGTCAATTGCAACCAGGGCGCATGCAAGTAGCCAGTGGGGAACACAAAGCACCTGAAGGAAACGCAGATCAAATCCCGGGTTCTCCTATCATATCTCTTTACTACTTATAGGATTTAGGGGTTTAGGGTTTACTCCGTCACCTTTGCAAGTCGTTGTGCTGGGCAGCTACTGCCCCAAGCCCTGAGGCCTCACCTCGCTCAACTCAACCTATGACGCAAAACCCCTGACAGCTGATAGCACAAGTCTTGCATGAGCACGTTCACAGTATTGAGTGTTTCATTTAAACTCTGTCCCCTGACTAAACCCTTTGTGGGAGTTTCCGAAAATAGGGGACCCTAATATAGTACCCTAAATAATAGGATCCTTAATATAAGGACCCCAAAATAAGGTACCCCAATTTTCGGAAATCCCCATATAGGCGCAGCAATGACTCGAGCAGGGCTGACAGCTGAGGTCGATTTTTGTATAGTATAGGTATAACCGGAACTAGAAGGAATATTATTAGCAACTCGTTATCCCGACCAGTATCTTAGACCAATTGCCAACCCAACAGGAAACGGTTCCTATACAAGGACGTCAAAAAAGGCCAGAGTATGAACCCTACATCAGAACCCAGATGTCCGTTCCTGCGATGAGGACCTACCTTCTCGCGAGCATTGGCTGTAAGTCAGCCCTGCTTCATACACCGTGTAGAACCAACCATTAATTATATGAATTATATGGTTCTAGGAGCGTCTAGAATCACAAACCCCTGCTTCATAAGGCCAGTTTATCCTGGCAGCAACTACCGGGCAGTCGGCGGAAGAGAACCAGTGTCATGTCCCAGCAGCAACCTAAACATTTTAAGTCTATATTCCAACTTTTCGGAGAATTCTGCACTATGATTGTGACAATTTATAACCCACGCGTTGTGATGCGACCAACTATACACCCTCGAATCATCGGCAAAGCTGAAAGGGGGCTTTTACAAAAAGGGGCCTTTTCGGGATTCAGGTTGGTCGACAACTAAAACAGGGTTGGTGAAATCGGACGTCTACCGGCAGAAGGTCAGGACGATCGAGGTGGCTTCGCAAGGGGGACGTTCT